TAGGCAGAAATTGCATTGGGTAGAGATTAAGTAAGGAGTTGTAAACGGGGGAGTTTAGCTCTGAATTGATTATGCTAATAGTGGATTTCCTTCTTGGCTTGGTAGCCCTCAGATGTAGGTGAGGTTGCATCGAACTGGGGAAACAATTCATTGTGTTATTTATCTTTCAGCATTTACAATTCTGCACAATTTAACTGGTTAGATAAATAGTCTGTCTGTCTGCTGATGTTACAACAGACGTCATGACATTGGTACAATTTAAATTAATTTAAATTGGTCATGTTCTGTCCTTGTTCTGTTTCATCAGAGATCAATGTTCTTTGCATCTCTTAGGACATATGAGATCTGCATACTAGAATTTCAGCATAATCACTAGCATCGCACATGAGTTCAAAATCAATTTTCCAACTTGGTGCTACGATTATGGGCGCGGTGGTTAAGCTTTGCTTTAAAGAATTGAAAGCTGTCATACAAACCTCATCGAAAATAAAAAAACTTATCTTTGTTGAGAAAGTTGCTCAATGGCTTCACGATCTTTGAAAAATCTTTGATAAATCTCCGATAGAATCCCACATGACCCAAAAAGCTTCTGATTCCTTTCACGTTCAAAGGTGGTGGTAGCTTCTCAATGAATTCCACTTTAGCACGATCAACTTCAAGCCCTTTCGAAGAAACTTTGTGTCCAAGAACAATTCCTTCTTTGACCATAAAATTGAATTTTTCCCAGTTGAGTACTAAGTTAGTCTCCACATACCTCTCCAAAACAACATCCAAATTTTTCAGACAAAGGTCAAATGACAGACTGAAAACTGAGAAGTCGTCCATAAACACCTCGATAGTCTTTTCGATCAAGTCCGAGAAAATAGCTTGCATACACCTTTGAAAAGTCGTCGGTGCATTACACAGGCCAAACGGCATCCTCCTATAAGCAAAGATTCCGAAAGGGCAAGTGAAACCCGTTTTTTCATGATCCTCCAGGTTGAAAATGATTTGATTATAATCTGAGTATCCATTCAAAAAACAATAATACTCTTGACCGGAGAGCCTCTCGAGCATTTGATCCATGAAAGGAAGAGGAAAAGTGATTTTTCCTCGTAGCTTAATTAAGCCTACGGTAGTCGGTACACATCCTCCACCTCGTTACAATTTTTTGTTGGAATAAACTCATTCTTCTCATTACGGATAAATGTCATTCCTCCCTTCTTCGACACCACTTGTACCAGACTAACCCACGGACTGTCAGAGATAGGATAAATGATTCTGGCGTCCAACATTTTTACCACTTCTTTCCTCACCACTTCTTTCATGGTAGGATTCAATCTTCTCTGTGGTTGAGCCACCAACTTGAAATCTTCCTCCATGAATATTTGATGCATACAATAGGATGGACTTATACCTTTCAAGTCGGGAAGAGTCCAACTCATTTCCTCTTGATTTTTCTTCAAAACACTAACTAATTTTGTCTCTTCCTTATTGGTTAGCTCCACACTAATGATCACCGGCTTGTTTCCTTCTTCATTAAGAAAAATATACTTGAGATGAGAGGGTAACACTTTCAACTCAAGTTTAATTTCCTCATTGTTTTCCTTTTTCAACATTTCCACCATTTCATTCAAAGGGGGGATTTCTTCTAACTCTTCAAGCTCCCGCAAGCATTTTTCAATCTCTTTTTCTTCCTTCTCATTAATATTTGAAAGAGAATTTGTAAGAACTTGTTATAATGGTGTGGGAACTTGCAGTAACTCTTTAACTTCTTCGATCACCCTTTCCGTTGCATCAATTCTAAAGCAATCGGTCTTGTCCTTCGAGTGCTTCATGGCTTCAAAAAGATTGAAACATATTTCCTCATCTTGAAATCTAACTTTCATTAGACCATCATCCATATCAATTTCCATGTGCGCGGTCTTCATAAAAGGCCGCCCAAGAATCAAGGGAGCGTCCTCACCTTCCTCCATATCAATCACCACAAAGTCGATTGGAAACAAAAATTTGTCAACCTTTACCAACACGTCTTCTGCTACACCATGAGGGAGAGTGATAGATTTATCGGCAAGTTGCAATGTCATTTGAGTAGACTTCAACTCCATGGGTCCCAACCGCTTCACAAAAGACAAGGATATCAAATTGATACTAGAGCCTAAATCGATCAACCCATTGCCAACATAAGTGTTTCCAATTGTAACCGGCAAAGTGACTCGTCCCGGATCACTTTCTTTCCTCGGGAGAGTATGTTGAATGGTTGTGCTACAACTAGCATCCACCATGATAGTTTCTTGATTTGTATACCTCTTCTTCTTTGTAAGCATATCCTTCATGAATTTCGCACTTGGGAATTTGTTCCAATGCTTCGGAAAATGGAATGTTGATTTGCAATTGCTTGAATATATCCATGAACCGAGCATAGTGCCTCACACTATCTTTTCTTGATGGAGCATGTAGATATGGCAAATTTTGAATCGAAATATTGCTCACCTGTTCTTTTCCTTTCCTAGACTTTTTCACTTTTTCTTCTCTCTTGTTTTTCTCCTCTCCCTCACTCTTTTTCACTCTTTCATTTTCAACTAATTCTCCCTCAACATTTTTTTCTACTTCTTTCTCAACATTCTCTTTTTCTTTTTCAACTACAACCTCTCCTCTACTACCTCCTCACCTACACCCATGTCAATTTCTCTACCACTTCTAGTGAGAATCGCCTTGCAATGCTCCTTAGGATTTGGGAGAGCGGTAGCCGTGAATGGCCTTTTTTGTTGGTCGGCCAACTATTTTGATAATTGGACCACTTATGTCTCCAAATTCTTTATAGCCGCATCAATGTTCTTTTGATTTGACATTGACATTTGCATAAATTGAGTAAGAGTTTCTTCCATCTTTGAAGTTGCACTTTGAGTTTGCAGAGGTTGAGTGTAATTTTGGTATTGTTGGCGATTTGAAGTTCCAGCTTCTTGCATCCTCCAAGGTTGTTGATACCCATGATTTGGTCTTTGATACCCTTGATTGGATTGTTGGTAAGGTGGCCTAGGTTGGTATCCCTAATTTTGATTTTCATCATAGTTAACCTCTTCTACTACCGGAGAACAATACCCGGTAGAATGGTCACCTTTACACAATTCGCAACTTGCCACTTGAGATTTGGTAGGAATTTCTTACATCCCTTTGATTTGTTGTGGAAGCTTCGACATTTGTTGAGTTAAAAGCTCCACTTGTTGCGATAGAAGTTTGTTCTAAGCAAGAATAACATCGTTGGTACCCAACTCTAGAACTCCTAGTTTTCTTTGAGTTACTCCACGGTTATGATTTCCTTTTTGATCATTAAGCGCCATCTTGTCAATGATTGCAATTGCTTCCTCGACACTTTTAGACATCAAAGAACCACCCGCCGTAGCATCCAACAAGGTTTTGTGAACCGAGAGGAGACCATTGCGAAAAATGTGAACTTGCATAAGTTCATCAAAATCGCATCCTTTACATTTCCTCAACATTGACTTGAATCTCTCCCAAGCTTCGCTAAGGGATTCATTTACTCCTTGTGAAAATACAGCGATTGTCGTCTTTGCTTCCATGAACCGGTTGTGTGGAAAAAATCGTTCAAGGAACTTTTCTTCCAATAAATTCCAATTCGTTATTACTGTTGTAGACTGATCAAGATACCATTCCTTCGCTTTCCCGATCAAAGAATGAGGAAATATTATCTTAAACAGTGATTCTTCGTCAGCTTCTGGTGCTCCAATTGCACCCGCAATCTCATAAAATTTGGTAAGATGTGTAAACGGATCCTCATGATCTAACCCCGTGAAAGGATTTTGATAAATGAGTGCAAAGATTCCCATTTTCATCTCAGATTGCCTTCCATTTTAGAGATTGCATGCAAACTGAGCATTGTGCCTCAGACTATTTGTACATGGAACTGAAGCTGGAGGTGGTGGTAGTGGTGGAGCTGCCATGATTGGTGAATAAGATGGAATGGATGAAGAAGATTCCCCGCGTTCTTGTCTTTCCCTAGCTTGTTTCTGTCTCCGCCTTGTTCAACTGTTGAGTCGGTGAACAGTTGTTTCAACCTCAAGATCGAAAATAAGTTCTTTAGGTCGGACTTGTCCTCACATAAACAAATTTTGTACGCAAGCTAAACAGATCAAAAAGCACAAAGAATTACAGAGATAAGAGAATCACAATACACAAATCTTAAAATCACTAAGCTATTGCAATGCTTGCAATATCCTACTAACAATCCCCGACAACGGCGCTAATTTGTTATAATAGTTTAGTTAGGAGTGTTTTATCGTATCCACAGAGATCGTACGAGAATATTTGATGCTTGCCGTTCAATATTTTAGTGATTTAAGTAGAGGGGTTTTCAAATGGTTACTAGTTCAATCGTCTGTGTCATCAAACTGGTAAAAACTGGAAAAAAACTGGATTGGGCCGAGAAAAATCAGATTTAGGGTTGAACCGGTTCTAATGCATTTTTTATTTTTTAATTAAAATTTAAATGTAAAAGTTATAAGAATTAAAAAAAAAAATTGTTTAAAATTAGATTATGTTGCAATTATTTTGTAATTTTGTATTATTTTGTTATGTGTGATACATTTGTTTAAAATTTGAATTTAAATTATGAACTTGTGAATTTATAATATGATATTTTCAAAAAATTTAAGTACTAGTTATATTTTTTAAGAAACTGAATCATCCGGTTCCACCGGTTTTATATATATATAATGACAGGTTTATTCAACCGAGTTATCCGGTTTAATCCGGTTTAGTCATGCGGTTCGACTAGTGACCCAGTGGTTCGACCGATAAATCAGTGACCCAATACCCTACCCAATTCGATGATCAGTCCGATTTTTAAAACACTGATTCCAATACTCCATTACGTATAAAAGAACAAACCAAAAGTACAATAAAACATAGAAACTAATCATGTGTGCATATTATAGAATGGTAGATATCTATAAACTATATAGTGTTTTATTTATATAGAAAACAAAAATAAAAACGGTTAACTAACTCTGATGAACGAGTGTGACATTATAGCCAACAATAGCATCACCAGTGGTCAAATCAAACCAATGAGTCTTAGCAATGGCGTAACCCTTTGCCATACGGAAAAGGCCGGTGCCACCAACAACAGGCATCTCACGAACCGGGTTCATAGCAGAGTTCTTCCCAACAAGAGCAAACGTGCTACCGTTATACGGTCCATCAACAAACGAGTAGCTCAGAGACATAAGAAGCCCGAGCTCCTGCTGACACGACGATGCGTAAATACCTTGGGCCCGGCCCACGAGCTTCGACTTCGGGTCTGATGTTTCTGTTAACGGGTCATCCGCCATCCATATGTTTCCGAACTGGGAGATGAATGATTTGGTGTTGTCTACCGGTTCAGCCACCTTAATAGCGCTTGGGTTTTTTCCGCTGAGCGTGTCGTGGAAATAAAACTGAAGGTTTGTTTCGGTTTCTTGGTTCTTTCTTAGAAAACTTTTACCCCAGGCCCCTGCTCTTAGTTTCAAGCTTTGAATTGGTGGTGGAAGAATAACACTCAGTATAAGCATCATCAACACCATCACATTTTGGTTAGACATCTTGCAGGGTTGTGTTGTGTTGTGGATTTGGTTTTTCTATGTGTGTGGTGTATATAAATAGAATTTTTTTTTTCTTGTGGAGTTAGTCATTTGTGCGGTTTAACTTTAACAACAACATTACACCGATATGTCCACTACAGCATTTTAGCTAATTTCTTTCATAGATGTGATAGGTAGTTGAACTGCTTTTAGCAACCAGACAAAGGTTAAAGTTTTTTGTACCATGTCCATAACTCACTTTATTCAAGAGGTGAGAATAGGTGCAACAAGGAGATTTGGTTCTATTATGGGGAGAGTAAAATTGTAACCAGTCAAAAAAAGTTGGTGTAGTGGGGGCTTATTCTTTCATGATTAGATGCTTCATGGTGAAATAGAGGTCCACTAGTACAAAATACAAATATAGCGTGACATAAAATCAAATTCTAATAAACATCCTCTTTTAACCTTGTAGCATCAATACCTTAAAAATGTGTGTCAATTTGACTATTGGTATCCGAAACTGACATTGATATTTGTAATTATATTTATTTATTTTTTAAAATTATCAGTGTTTCGGTGCGTTAAAATCAATGTCGTATTTAGTGTTCGTTCGATGTGTTAGAATCAATGTCATGTTCAGTGTTCGTGCTTCGTAGGCTTTAACACATCATATAGAGTACAAGTAATATACTGATAGTTAATTTATGATTGGAAGGAATCCATTTTCAACATTTGATAATTAATATGATTGAAAAAAATTAAGGTAAAAGAAATACGTCAACGATAATGAGATAGTGTAGTTTTATTAATTAAAAACTATTGTCACAACAAACCTATCAGTAAAGTAAGGTATCATCCTTAAATTGTAAGCGGAAAAATTTATCTATCGATTATATGAAAAGATGAATGATCGATTCTTCCTCTGTATCTCACACTCTCGTTCACAACTCTCAATAGGGCAAATTGTAGAACCGTCATTTATGTTTGTGATTCTTATTGTGATTACAGAAGGGACCTAGCCATAAATATATATATATATATATATATATATATATATATATATATATATATATATATATATATATATATATATATATATATATATATATATATATATATATATATATATATATATATATATATATATATATATATATATATATATATATATATATATATATATATATATATATATATATATATATATATATATATATATATATATATATATATATATAACCCTAGTCTCTGCCCATTATGGGTCCAAGGTTAAAGCCCACACTTTTACCTACATCAATCAGTTTTCAGATACTCAACCTTTAGTTAATTATAAAAGAGACCATTTAACTAATAACGAGGCTTATATATGCACCCCCATCGGAGTCACAAGTAACCTGTTTTTCACAAACTAAACAACAATTGATTGTAGTTCATGAAAAGTTAGATAAATCTAACATTCTCCCATCTGGGCAAAATCAATTGTAGGATTTTTAATTTAAATTACATTTTAAAAACGACTCTCGGGTTAATGACTAATTCCATAAAATGCGGCCGCATTTTAAGGAAATGCATGATTTCAGGTGCAGTATCTGAATATGACTTCATCCAACAAAAGTCAAGCAGTATTGAATCACGAGGATTATTATATCCTTCATTGACATAAAACCTTCCATGTTTTCATTTACTACGGACTCCGTTAACTAGTCATCAATGTGAAGTGTGCCAAGAAAATAGCATGCTAATGTGATCCAACAATCAACTGCTATTTTCTTTGTCAGTCCTTAACAATTTTTCTCAAGTGCATTAAAGGCAAAGAAATTGTATGGTTTTACAAACCATAATGTCTCGGCTCCAATATGGCGTCGACCACCGGCACAGTGGTCCTAACAACGTTGAGCTTAAAATCATACCTTAGCTCCAATGTGGCATCGACCACCGGTATGTGGTCTCGAAGATACCGAGCTCAAAATTATAACCTTACCTCGAACTCCAAACTAGTGTCGACCATAGGCACTGTGGTCCCAATGACAACGAGTCCCAATTTTAACAATTGACATATAAATAAACAATGACAAATAATAATAATAATAATAATAATAATAATAATAATAATAATAATAATAATAATAATAATAATAATAATAATAATAATAATAATAATAATAATAATCATTGTAATATCAATTGCTTAAATAGAAAGTACTTGACAATCCAACACTTAAAGTGTCCAAATTAAAATATAACATGATTAAAAAAATTGACATAAAGAACAAACACCCAATAACCAAGTACATCAAAAGAACTCACAATTCTCATGTTCTCAACATGGTTTTTGAACACAATGGGTCTAAGTCCCTTATGAAGGTGTGAGAAATCACAAGAAAAGGGGGTTTGAATTGGATTTTCAAAAATGAAAGTTTTTTGCAAAACTCAAACAAATATCACAAATAGACTAATCAAGAAAGAAAGACACATGATATATCCTGGTTCACTTGAAAACTATCAAGCTAATCCAGTCCACCCGCCAAGGTGATTTCGCCTTATACACAAGGACTTAATCTACTATAATCAACAGATTACGCTGCACTAGCAACCGCTGGTGACTAACAACACAGACAACCGTCTCTTCTTAAGGATTCTGACCCAACTGGTCTCTTAAGGAATTACAATCTGCACAAGCAACCGCTGGTGACTAACAACAAATATTAACCGTCTCTTCTTAAGGATTCAGACCTAACAGGTCCCTTAAGGAGTTACAAACAACAGTTTGAACAAAGATGTTTACAATGAAATTGCTTTTGCATAAGCAGATATAAACACTATTAATAACTCAAATGTCTTAAAGACACTAATACAGTATGAACAATATTCTTTCTTTGTATTGTGGTGTTTTAATACTTTAGCTTCAATTCTTCATAGAATGCTTTCAATTAAAGTTTAACCTTTATATTAATCGTTGTAAAGCTTCTTCTATTCTTCAAGTAATCATGTCCTTATATAATTAGAAAAAGATCCGTTGGGGGCAGATCAAGAATATCCTTTAAGTAGCTGGCGACTTGAAATAATGTCGTTACGCAGGGATGAAAATCGTACACAAAATTTGTCCTTTGTATCACTAAATCAGGGTAGTGGAATGAGACGTTAAAATGTACTATGTACTATTTTCCCTCGTAGACGTTTGAGTTTCTCTTCTTTACATCAGAGGCTTTTGAATAGAGATGATTGAAGTATAAGTAGAAGAGTTGATTAGTAGGTCTTCAGATTCTTGAGTCTTCAGAGTGTTCAGAACTTGTTCACTAGAACCTTGTCTTTAGAATTATAAGCACTCAGTCTTCAGAACCTTTGGTCATTAGTAACTTAAGTCTTCAGAGTCTTCAGAACGTCGTTCAACAGAACTTTATTTTCAGAGTCTTCAACACTTATTCTTCAGAACTTCGTTCAATAGAACCATGTCTTCAGAGTCTTCAGCACTTAGTCTTCAGAAGATAATGACTTCAGAAGCTTGAAAGTCTTCAGAAGTAAAGTATTAGTGCCATGATCAGAAGCAAAAACCAAGAGAGCATTGCAGCAGCAACATATTGTCTTCTTAGAATCTTTCTGAATGAGAGTAGATCAGAAGTAGACTTGCTTCTTATAACGCACAAGCAACTTTGGTCAGATCAGAGTAATAGTTGAATATGATCTATATCAGAGTCAGAACTTTCTCTATCAGAGATAGAACCTGTTTACTAATTCTTCAGATAAACAAATTTTAGAATACCAAAATTATTCTCACACAAATACTACTTTGTTATTATCAAAACCTAGAGATATCTTGCAGAGCCAAATCTTGTTCTAACAATCTCCCCCTTTTTGATAATGACAAAACCATGTATTTTGATGACACAATTTTGCACGATGATAATCAATATGAAATGATAGAGATGTGTTTTGGAAATAACTTCCTTTTATCAAAGCTCCCCCTGAATCTAAGATCTCAAAAATCTTATCAGATTTGGGATATCGGAGCCTGATTATAAAGTTCTTATCAGATACAAAATAACAACGCTTGATTATACATTAGAGCCTGATTGGGCTTAAACAAATCTGAGATGGTTCAAGTCTGATTCTTATCAACTGCATCAGGTAGAGGTAATGATTGGTTAAATCATAGCATGGTTATCAATATATCAATTATCAATTTGTTCCTGAAAACATTCTAAGAAAAAGAATTGAATGCAATTAAAGAGTTAGAATGTCTGAGCTTATGATTTAGAGACAAGATATTCTTTATCAAAATAATTTTCCATTTAAAGTACTCTCCTTTTTTGTCATAATCAAAAAGGTAAATAATAGTTCAAACAACATAAGATAAATACAAATAAAACTAAGAGGTGACCTAAGGAGTGTCTAAGGTTAAAGAGGAGGAGGGATCCTCTAAAGGATCTGAGCAAGGGAATTCTGAATCATGAAAGTGAGTTCATCTTGCTTGTCCATCCTTGTTCTGAGCAACTTTTGATCCTTCTGAATTCTTTCCAACGTTTGTAGAACAAGATCAAAATATATTTTTTAGCAGCTCTCAAGATATCTTCTTGATTTTTCAGCGCAACTTCCTTCTCAGCTTGATCATGAGCTTCTTTGTCAAGAGCTTCCTTAGTCAATCTCTCTGTTAGTTCCCTTTCAGCAGCTAACTTTGCTTCAACTTCCTTTTTAGCTTTCAATCTCTCTTCAGCTTGTTGAGCAAGATAATCTTTTGTTTGAACAAATAGATTTTGAATCTTCTGAAACTCATCTGACATCCACTGATTGAATTGATCCCAGGAAGCACCCAAAGAAGAAGGGTGTTCACTAGAACTTGAATCATCAGAGAGTGCCTTAAATCTCATAACAACGACGTCCTTAAATACATAAATAACTTCATCTAGGTTATGAGGGAAAGGGTCAGAAGATTGATTCTCAGGAATTGAGTGGGTTTCTTCAGCAGAATCACCCAAGTTAGTGATATTAAGATTTTCAAGATTTGATTTTCGTGGAGAAGGTTC